CAAAAGAGATTTGTGAATTTGAGAGGGATACAGCCTTTATGCTAATAGAAAGCGTTCAAATATGAAAATATACAGCAGGCTCACAGAAATTTTTAAAGCGGAGTAAGGTTCCGATAATGAAGCTAAAAGAGCCAGCGATTTTAGTGTTTTTGCAATTGAAAAGAAAATCGGAACATATTTCGAATAACTGCAGAACTTTCATAGCGTCAGATTGACCCAAACTGACCTTTTGGGATCTTTCTGAGCTCTAAAAAGATTTTATATGGTGCCGTCTGACGATTGGTTATTCCGTAGAAAAATAGCTGCCAAGTTTCACCGAAAATTTCAAACAGATTAAATGGTTACAAACGAAAAAAATTGATTACAGTTAAGATGGAATATTTGGGCTTTTCCAATAATAGCTCCCAAGAGTCTGATAATTGTAATTTTGAGGGTCAATTTTGTTCTGGGTAACTATAATAGGAAAAAAGCAAACAAATTTCTCATGACAAGACACGATCAAAATGCTTATGGTCAGTTGAGAGATAACTTGCTTATTGCCTTTGATGGTTAAAGACTTAGAATGGAAACTTTCTTCTAATGAAGAATCAAGATGAAAAAAAATCAACTCGATACCATGAACTAAATCTCGCAAGCTTTGAATAATAACGAAAACTAAAGTATTTTGGTTAAATATCGCCAGTGGGCGCTCATGGAAAGCAAGTAATTATTTAGACAAAAAAAATGGAACAAAAGTTTTTTTTCCAAATCATTACTAGGTTACCAAAATTTTGATTTGATGGTAATTGATACCTAGTTTGAATTTGACTTGCGTTATTTGATTTCTATCTTCTCTGGAACTTTTGTGATTCTGGAAGCTCGGAAAATTTTGGGATCAATGTTCCTGTGAAATCTTATTCAGGCCTTCTCTGTTTATAGAGTTTCAAAATTTTACTAGTTAAGTTTTTTATTTTGTTATAATTTAGTTTTTCAGATTTTTCAAACCACTTGCAACTTTTAATTATAAACATTTTTTATTAAACAATCAACATATACTTTACTGGCGAAGCTTAGTTTATTTGAACTCCAGTCTGAGATATTGCCGAGTTTTTTTTTATTGATTTAATGCATTGCTGTATCGTTAAAAATCTCACAAAAAAATGGTTGGGCTCTGGTATGCTTTTTATTGCAATATCAGGTATCATTTCAATTTATCAAATTTTGTTGAGTAAAATATCCTAAGACTATTCATTGTTAATTTTTTACGTAATTTCTTTTGAAAGTTGATATATTTTGTAGTTTTACAACAATGTAAGCTGTTAATAATTTTTGGAACCAAAAAATACAAAGGAAGTGTAGCTGGCAGCTTTTTTTCTAAATAATCTCAATTTGATATTTACCCTTGCGATAAACAAGGGTACTGCAACAGGGTTTTTCCCAATCATAATATTGTTGATAAAATGATAAAATGATTAACTTTATAACCGCTGAATTAATAGCATGGATGGAGTGTATTAACTGCATAAGTACCTTGGGTGAACGCTAAGAGTTGCCAAGTATTCTTTATAAGTGCTGCAAGCTTGAGTAGATTTGTTTCTGTCGGCTTATTATCAGTATGTTTTTTTTCTATTAGCTTTTGTTGGTAATAAATGAGAACGGTTGAACTCTAACGACAAGTTTTTGAAAACTTTAAATTACCCTTTTAGGCACTCCGTTACAAATTTTGCAATGTATACGTGAAAAAATTTCATTTTTTTCATTTAACAAAAATCATTTTTCGTTTTTTTTTGGTTTGTTTTTTAACATTGGTAGCAATCTTTGATAATATGGTTATAGTTTTTAAAAGTTTTTTTTTCAATTTGTAGATTTATCTTTTATAAGTTTTCATTTTTCAATTTGTCCGCTCATCTGAAAGTAGTGATAGTCATTCAGTTTTGTATCGCAAGAGGTGCGAAACTCTGCTTCGCCTTCTCTTTATTTTGCTGTTATGATCACTCGCAAAAAATGGGAAATAATTCCAATGGCGTAGGCTTGATTTTTGATGCAATTATAGGTTACTACTACAGTAACGTTTTTGACGCACAGTCAACTAAATCAGTGCAACTCATAAGCAATGCGTATATCGTTACCCAGGCAAAGATCAGAAGCGGCACATTTTCAGCATCATTTGAAATATTCTGTTTCAAACAAAAACTGCAAGCAAAAATTGATAAAAAAATTTTTAATATCTGAAACAGTTTTCTCAATGTTCGATTGTCTTTTCAATAGTCACTACGAAACTTTGAAAACTTTGTCGGAGTTTTCTGGTTGGTTTTGCAGGTTTCCAAGGATATCTTAGTAATTTGCGTCTTCTGGCATTCCTTATACAATTAACTCTGGTAACGTCTCGCACACTTCCTTCATGCGATTAGTTGCTCTCAATTATAATGGCGACACAAACAACTATCTACAGCTCTAATTTTTTTTGTGTTTAACTCTTGAGATTGAAAAATTTTGTTATTTGCTTTCTGTTCTCGTCCCGGTCTGATTTTTGGGTGCAAACTAGAACTACATCTGTTTTAAAAACGCAATTGACAAAAACAGTTGACAAAAAAATGAAAGCTTATACAAAAAAAATTGGCTCACATGAAGAAGTATCACATGAAGAAAGACTGCAGTTCAAACTTAACGTACACCACTTGGAACAGAAAACAAAAAAGCAGCGTTGTTATTCACCGCCAGCAAAACCTGAATAAATCTGAGAGAATTTCGTTCATTATGCCAACTAACATCAGAAACACTTCACAAACTCACTACTACTATAAAACTAAACCACACAAGGCAATAAAGCTCCAAAAGGTATCCAAGGTATAAGAGCCGAAATCGGAAAGAAGTTGCCTCGGCGACATCCATTTAACTATAGTCCCTATTTGCAGCTTCTAGCCAATTTTTTTTGCAAATTTTTACAGCGGAAATTTATGCTGGCATCAAAAGCACTTTCAATTTTTGGTATCCTGTCTCATCGCAAGTTTCAGGTCTGAGAATCATTTGGGGAGCCAGCCAGTCTAGTTTTACCCAAATACAATATGAATGAAGCAAATAAACTAATAATTGACCAAAAAAAGATGCTGTCAACCGGAAACTTACCCTTGGAACCCTAGCCCCAGCACAAAAACACGCATGCCAAGAAATAAAGGCAGCATTTTAGAGAATTCTTTGATTTTCAAAGCTTAGAAACATTTTGGTTTGACAACAGAAACCAAACTCGTTTAGTTTTCTGCCTGCGTCATCTTCCATACAGACCACCTTATTGGCCTCACCGCTCCGGTAATCTTTCGTTTTCAAATCCTGCAGAAAATTATTTGAAGTTAACTGCTATAACGAGGCGACCACAAGTTAACGGTTCAGATAAAATACAAAAGATCTTTGAAGCCAATTGCATAGCAGAAACATTTTTATCTCATCTTATCTCTATGTTGAGAACACTCACCACCTAGGCTAATTCAACACCTCTTATGACGGAACACATGGAATCCCTTCTCTACGACTTTATGGTTAAATGGGCCAAGTTTGATCCTTAAGCTTGATCTACAATTGTGAACTTTGCCGACCATCTCTCAATAGCAGCGCATATTGTTTTGCCACCGTAATTATATGCAATGCCATATACGAAGCCAAATTTGCTCACAATGAGATGGCCATAGAAACATTTGAAGTTTAAAATCTGGAAGCAGGGGCGGATCTAGGATTTTCTCGAGGGGAGGGGCCGATTTTTAAAAAAATTTCGAATTTCTTTTAGGTCGACCAAATGGATTTCCGATCTCCCAAAGCACTAAAAAGACCTTGTTTTGGCCAAATTTTCTGCACCGCAGCCAAAAATGTGAAAAAACTGGCCAAAAAAGCGTTTTCAGGCACTTTTTGGAAAATTTTTACCAAAAAACCACGTTTTTTCGGCGCGCGCTCTCCCTTCAGTATTAGTTTATATCGGCGCCAGGGCGCCTTTAGAAAAATTTTAGGTTCCGTCACCAAAAATTAATATTTCAAAATAGTACAAAGGCGTGACTCTTTGGGTCGGCAGGGGGGTCGAATCCATGAAGCACCCGTCGTTTTACTCAAAAAGAAATGACACAAGGTCACGTGTCCTTTCAAGTTAGAACACTATAGCCTTGATCCGGATTCTGAAAATTTTCAATAAAAATTTTATTTCAAAAACGAGAAAATCTTGACTGTTTTTTTTCGTTTTTACTTGATTTTGAGCGGAAAAGTAACCCATTGGACCGATTAATACACCAGTTTTCTAGCCTATCAAGTTTTCCTCTAAGTTTTTTTCTCAAAAGACTAATTTCACAGCGACTTAAGACCGAAGTTATTATAATTTCTTAGAAACCTCTGAAAAAAACTTTTGAATTTTTTCTTAAGCCAATGATTTCATATTTTTGCTTGGTATTCTGATTTGTTTTTATCACCGTGGTCGTAATACTCTATGATATCGTGTCAGGACATTTGTCCCAGACATTTATGTCCCGGCAAAAACAGTCCAAAAAGCAAAAAGTGTCCAAGACATTTGGTTCCCAGACAAAATTGTCCCAAAACTGTCCGGGCTATTGCCACACTAGTTAATGACCGGATTAATTTGATAAACTCTCAAAAGGAAGGATTAAATCGATAAATCGATAAGGCCACGCAACTGAGCAATTAGACCAGAAATTACTTTGCGCAGCATATTAGAGACAAAATTAACTCAGGACTCAAATCATTTACACATACCTGTTTGAAACTCATTTACACATACCTGTAGCGATTCTTTGAAAAAATATTAAAAATTCAAATCATTTTGCAAAAATTAATGTTTGATTCTCCTTAAAACTGAAAAACAACAGTCGCAGACACCTCAGCAGTTTCAAAAACTCCAAATATTAAAAAAAAAATGGGAAAATGATAATAAAACTCACCTTAAAAATACGGCCAGCTTGTATGACCTAAGGATGACGAGAAGAATTTATAAACTGACGTAGGATCAAATTGACAGTAAAAAAACTCACTTTTTCATCTATTTAAGGACACAAATTGTATTTCAAATTTCAAGACTTTCATTTTTTTGTCTTCTGACGGGTTTGTTTGAGACCAGTCAACCAATTTTTGTTCAATTTTTTTTACTCTTTTCAATCAGACTTTTTTGTTGTTTCGGCATTTATTCACACCTGTCTCTAGCTCAGAATTATTGATTCAATTCAGCCTCGGGATATGTTTTGTGTTATTTGTCCATAAAGAGAAGTGTCCTCTAAAATCAACACCAAATCACTGGCTATTCCGTCCCTGCTGAAAAATATCTGAGCCAGATGCGTTACTGTGTAAATGGCAGATATTGTTGCAATTCACGTTTTTTGTTTGGTCCGAAAACACTTCAGGCAGTTCTGACATTTTGATATTTCTCTTTTTTTTCAATGAAAATTGGACAACTTGCGCTAAGATTAGGCATTTAAGAGCTTATACAGTTGGAGAAAAGCAAGGATGCAAAAACGATCTAAAACAAATGGCGCGGATCTAAGGTTTTCTTGTGGGGCGGATTTACGAAGCTTTGAAATTTTTGGCGACTTTTTTTGGGTCGAGCAAATTGATTTTTCGAACTTTCTCAAACACTAAAAAAGATCTTGTTTTGAATAATTTTTCTGCGATGCAGGCAACTTTTGGAAACAAAAGGCTAAAAAATGACGTTTTTTCGGCGCGCGCTCGCTCCTCAAATCTAGTATATATTATTTAGTATATATTACTAGTCACCTAAAAAAGGATTTCGCACAAAATTACAAAAGGGGACGTTTTAAGTGGTCAGAGTGTCAAATCGCACAGAGGAAGGTGGACAGTACCTTGCCGAAGGGGGAGGGGGCGGTCGCCCTCTTTTCAATTCAGTTTGCCAATTTTTTTCCCAAGGGTCCCCCTATTGGTATAATTTTACGAGATCCATTTTTGGCTCACCGACATCAAAGTTTTTCTAAGGCGTCAATATAATTAAAATTGAGGGAGGAGCGCAAAAAATGCGCAAAAAGTCGTTTTTAGCCTGTTTTATCAAAAAAAAATAAAAAAATAGGGTCCTCATAGTATTTTCAGAAAGCTCGGAAAAAAATTGGTCGACCTAAATGAAAAATTGACAAAATTTTCAATTTTTCTTTCAAAAAACCGGCGCCCCTCCCCTAGAAAAAGTTCTGCGCACGCCACTGAAAGTGGAGAAGGGCGTCCTGCCCCCACTCCATCATAGCAACCAAGTTTGTAGTGTTTTTTTAAACAACAAACCTGGCATATTTTTCATTTTGGTCCTTTTCCATTACAAAAGTTAGAAGGAATATTATGCAATTTTCTCGTAATATTCGGATGTTTATCTCGATAGCCTTTTTCTTCTAGTAACTTTTGCTTAATATTTTCTAGTTATAGAGAATATCATGAGCCGTTATCTCTGTTTATCAAATTGAATTTAAGAAACGTCCTTGCATAACCTATCTGAATAATCGGTATAAAATGCAATTTCAGTTTCGATACTGTAGCTTAGATACGGCATTTGACAATCGAACATAACTATTGCGCTAAATTAGAGATCATGAGGTCTTATCGCTTATTTGTTATGAGTTTTTGATGACAAAGTTTCTGATTTTTCGATGTCGATGCGATATTAATTTCCATCATTCTATTATGTTTCAGTGATTTAAAGAATACAATGGGATTGATTGGGGTTTGGTAATCTCAAACAGTACTTTCTGACCGACAAACCGCCTGTTTGTCCGTTATATATTTTTCGCCTGAAAGGTTCGTGCTACTCTTTAATCTAAAATTGTATCATATCATAGTCTAAATCTTATTGTTATGAACTTTGAAGAGTATGACGGAATGTTTAAATTTGATGTTGTTTTTTTTCGACTTTTTAACTAAGCGCTTATGACGGAAACTTTTTATACCATACGAGTATTGTTGTACCGAGCTCAAATGTATAAAAAAACGTTCTAGTTAAAAAAGCCAAATTTTTCACTGTTTTTTCAAAGATAGGCGCGCAATTTGGCGCTCGCAATCCAGAGGCAAGTCCGTGAACCTGTTAAAGTTTTGTCCGAACGTTCAAAGAAAACGAAAGAACGAAAGAAGAACAAAGAGAGCGTTCTTGTTGCAGAATACGCTTACAGTTCACAAAATACAGAATTTGGCCTCGTAATGGAGTACTGATTTAAATTAACGTTTCAACACAAACAATATTGGAATTCTTTGCGTGCGTTTTTTTCTCAAATTAGTTTAGATTAGACAAAAATCTTTGGCACAAGTTCGATTGGATTTTTTGTTAGAAACATTATGATGCAAAAACTGAACACAAATGGGCCATTTTTGGTTCCTTTGAGTCAAGAAAGAGTTACGCTAAGACTATCGAGTCAATTGTTAAGCAAATTCATAATTCACGGAATCCGCTCATATTCACAAAATACAGTGTTTGGCCTTGTATTACACCTGGGATAAATGTTCGCAAAAAAAATTAGGTTTTGACAATTGCTAACTTGGTCAATTTAGGATAATTAACAAGTAATTTATTGAGTTGTTATAAATAGCGTAGGCGGCAAGTTAATTTGTTTTAATTTGAATTGAGGCATATTTTTTGGTCCTATAAAAATACAAGACTGCTCGTAACAGGGCGAAGCCCTGAACGTTCCGACCGCCTTTTAAGGTTTATGGAGCAGTAATAACATTTAAAAATTCAATGAAATAAAAAAAATGAACTTTTTTTTTCTAAAATTTGAAATTTTTTATGAAAATCATCCCCCCACACGCCATATAAAGTACAAAAGGATAGATTTCGCTCCTTATAACAAACCAATTATGGCAAATATGCTTCTTTTAACCAATTTGGAACGATTTCTAAGACGGATAAACTCTCCGCTTACGCGTTAATAGCGCGAAATATCGCGCGTTAATTGTCCCAAGTTGGCCAAAATTGCAATCTTTAAACCCCCGTAACTTTACAAAAAATGATCACAGGTGAAATATCTTTTCAAATTTAAGCTCAGGAAAACAATACCTTTCGAATGATATGAAAAAATTCCGTCAAAAATGGCTAGTTAAAAAGTCGAAATTTGTCTGAAGAAAAAAAAAACCCACCCCGAGCACAAATATTCCGTTACTTTCGTATCGAAAGTCGGAACAACAAGACAATAAACACATCGGTTTGTACGAAGCATTTGGGATATAACGGCTAAGTGG